CATGTGTAACTACACAGGATTTGTCCCCAAATTTAGACATGAGGTCTGCACAGAAAAAAAAACCCAAAATATTCCCAAACTGCAAGGAGAGAATGGAATTTCTTCTGCAAGTAGAATCCAGGTATGGGCACTCACAGAATTATGAATGGTTGGGTTGGGAGGGACCTTAAAGTCACACCCCTGCTATGAGCAGGACACCTTCTATTATCCCAAATTGCTCCAAGCCCTCAACCTGCCCTTGGACACTTCCGAGGATGGGGCAGCCACAGTTTTTCTGGATAAAAAGAGGATTTTCCCAATAAAAGCAGCACAGCCACTCCTGACTGTCCTTCCTGGCAGTGTGCTGATGGACCTCTGAGCACCAGGAACACCCTGTGTGCTTTTTATGGAGCATTTCCAGAGGATTTTCCACCCTGTGGAGACAACACACCAACCTTTCAGGGCCTTCTGCAGTGTCTCCAAGCAGCTCACCAGGTGCTGGTGTCCCCCCGAGTTCAGCACCACACGCTTTTCCTTGGGCAGGCAGAAGAAAAAAAAAACATCATTTTTCCTTGTCCCTCAGTAGGAGGGAATTATGGCAACTTTTGAACAGCTAAGCGAGGTTTATTTTGATAATTAAAAGCAGATTAGATTTCACCCCCAAATTACAACATTTTGATTCCTCTAGGTGAGCAGTAATCTGCTTGCAAGCAGATCACAAAGGCAGGCCTGGAATTGAGTTTATTTTCTTTTTAGCAACTTGCCCAGCTGGAAGAACAGAATGTAGCAACTTTTTATAGGTCTAAGCTGAGAGTTTTAGAAGAGGAGACAGAAAAATAAAGAGTTGGGCAAACTTTTAACACATGAGTGTGGGCAGGAGGTTTTGTTGTAGCTCTCCCCTGCCTCCTGCTGCCACACCAATATTTTAAACCCATTTTTGACTAAGCCAGGGCTGAGTGTTGAGTGTCACTGAACAAACTGTTCCACAAAACAATATCCTGGAAGGGTAAATAGCAGGAAATATAGGTTTTACTCTTTCCCTGGCACTGAACACTAATTAGGGAACGGAAAGGCACATCAGGCTGGGCAGGTTTGGACATCCCTCCCTCCCCTGCACCACTCAGGAGAGAGTGAAGCCACAGTGCTGTGGTTTGACATGAGAAAAAGAATCTTTTCAGCAGGAAGAAGTTGATGTAGTCAGGGGTCAGGTGTAAATATTGACACTTAGAATAACCAACTGAAAGTAGACATGCTCTTAATATAGAGGGGTTAAAGGCTCTAGAGGAAAATGGGGGGGACTGTAGCCCCAAAATTAAACACTAGACTGTTGTTCCTCTTGGTCCTTGGCAAAGCATCCTCAAAGGAGCCCAATGAGCAGTCTCTGTCCATGCACGGTGGTGAGAGCACAGTGACAAAAAGAGGAGTGTCACACTGGCAGATTCTCTCCAGGCAGTGCCACGTGTGACACAGAAACACAAGAGGTGGCAGCTGTGTTTCCTGGGGGTCTGTAGTGCAAGGGAGACTCCTCTGTCCCCTCTTAGACTCAGTATTGATTATATATTAAAAGGTAAATACTTCATTAAGAGTCCAAATGTGTGTCACTGTAGTTTATTAAAGTTAGATAGTAAGAAGAGGAATGTTTTGAAAGGTTTTAATTTCAAATTTTATGTGTGCTTTTCTTTTTTTTCTTTTATACTAATATAGCAGTAGTAGCTTAATAAAGCTTTTTTTTCCTTTTTGTTATTAAGCTTCGCCTGCTTTATTCTCAATCACATTTCACAGCATCCAATTAAGAAGCTGCATTTTCACGGGGATACCAGCATCAAACCATGACACATGGACACAACAAAAAACACCTGGAAAAGGTCTAAAAACCCAAGAGAAATCCTTCAGCAGAGGAGCTGCAGCTCAGAGCCCAGCAATGCTCACCATGACCTGTCTGACCAACTTGATGGTTTCTGTCCAGGGCCGGTTCTGGCTGTACTTGGCGTGGAGCCTCTCCAGGAGGGAGCTCATCTTGTTCAGCTTCTCTGCCTCTGTCACACAGGAACACAGTGAGCCAACTTTGGTAAGTTCTGCAAACCACTTAAACAACACAAAACTTTCCACCTTTAAGCTGAAAATGACTTCAAAGAATTTGCTAACTGCTGGTTTAACCCCAGAGCTTGAGGTGAGGTTAAGTGTTACGGAATCTCCCAGGCTGTTAAAACTAAAGGACTGTGAAAATCTTATGGATTTTCCTGGAAAATGCTCAGCTCCTGTTCTGCACCATCCCTGAGTGATGTGGCCTCAGCAGGTTCAGTTCTGTCAGGAGAGGATCCCCAGAAACTGAGGCTGTGGGAAACACGGGGTTAAAGCAGTGAGGTGGGTTTTGTGTCCTGGATCCCCTCTCTGGTCTCTCTCCCCCAACTTCTTGAAAGGTCCTCAACACCTTCCACCATCAAAAACCTCAGCCAAGTCATTCCAGCTGCCAGTTCTGCCAAATTCTGTGCTCAGACACGTTCCTGCCCCACAGCAGGACATGGGGAAGCGGCTGGAGCTGTGCCAGGGGGGTTCAGGTTGGATTTTGGGAAGTTTTTTCCCCCCCTCAGAGGGTGCTCAGGCAGTGGAACAGTTCCCCTGGGAATGGGCACAGCCCCAAGAGCTCCAGGAGGGTTTGGACAACGCTCTCAGGGATTTTTGGGGTGCCTGTGCAGGGCCAGGAGTTGGACTGATGATTCCTGGATTTTGGGAATTTTTATCCCCTCCCAGAGGGTGCTCAGGCACTGGAACAGCTCCCCAGGGAATGGGCACAGCCCCGAGGCTGCCAGAGCTCCAGGAATGTTTGGATATCACTCTCAGAGACAGGGTGGGATTTTTGGGGTGCCTGTGCAGGGCCAGGAATTGGGTTGATGATTCCTGTAGAGCCCAGAGCCCCAGGAATGTTTGGACATTGCTCTCAGAGACAGGGTGGGATTTTTGGGGTGCCTGTGCAGGGATGGGAGCTGGGCTTTGATGGTCCTGGGGGTCCCTTCCAGCTCAGGACATCCCATGGCTCCACAATCAGCTCCAAGCTGAGGGCTGCTGTCCCCTTGTGCTGCTCCATGTGCTGGGGGGGATGAAGCAGTGGATGAGTGATAAAGAGAACATGGTTCTCATGAACACTGAAATCCAGTGTTTTATTGCCAAGAGACAGAGCTTTTCATACTTTCACGTCAAAAAAACCATCCCAGTGGACGTCATTCCAGAATAAACCCTGTCCCCAGCCCCAGAGGGTCCAGTGCAGACATGACATTTTAGTGTCACCTCACAGGAGCCTGTGACTTCCACCTGCCAAAATTCCACAGTTTGGGCTCCTGATTGATGCTCTGCTAGCCCACAGACCTCACATTGAGCCCTCCAAACCCAAGTGTAAGGAAGGAATGAATGAATGCTGGGTGTTCTGGAGCCTCCTGCTCTGCACACATTGCAAACCCACCTGTGTCCCCTGCTCCAGCTGACCCTGCCTTGGCAGAGGGGTTGAACTGGATCATCTCCAGGGGTCCCTTCCAACCCCAGCTACTCCGGGATTTGTTTTCAGGCACTTTACACCTCTCAGCTGCATCAACACAGGATGCTGCAGGTGGGAAGGGACCCCTGCAGCTCACCTGGTCCAAGCCCCTCCTCAACCAACACTGAGTTGTCCAGAATCCCATGAGAGAGCTGGAAGGGATCTCTGCAGATCACCCAGCCAGGCAGGGTCACCTGGAATGTGCCCAGAGACCACTCACCCTCCCTGGACACCCTCCTGGAAAGAAGCTCTTCGTCATGCCGAGGTGGAACTTGCTGTGTTTTATTTTCCGGCCGTTTCTCCTCGTCCTGCCGCTGAGCAGAGTCTGAACAGGGCTCTGACAGCCCCTAGCGATATCTGCCCGGACTGATAGCATCCTCATCCTCCTCTCCTCCACAGCAACCAGGCCCAGCTCCCTCCACCTCCGCACAGAGACTCCCCACACCTCAAACCACCTTTGTGACCCTCGCCCGTTTCACTTTCCGGGCCGCCACCTCAACCTCAACCCGAATGCGGAGCCTCGGATCCGCCGGGCCGCCCTCCTTCCCTCACGGAGAACCGGGAACCCCCGCGCCCCTCGCGCCGCACTCACCCTCGGCGCTGCCGGGCGCGGCCTTCATATTGCAAACGCGGGGCTGGTCTGGACTGGAGAGAGGGAGCGGAGAGGGAGCGGGAGCGGCGGCGGCGGCCGGGCCGCCCTCGCCCTCACACGGCGGCGGCCGCCGCCATCGCTGCGCCCGCGGCCGCGCTCCCGCGCTCTCGCGAGACTCCGCGGGAGCGGGGCGGGGCTCGGCGGCCAGCGCGCCCCGCCCCCTCAGCGCCCTGGAAGCGCGGCGGCCGCTCCGCAGCCCCTAACGGAGCATTAACCGCTCGTTAGCCGGCGGTGCGCCGGGGAGGGCTCGGCAGCCACCCGCCGGCGGCTTTAGGGCGCGGCGCGGCGGAGCGGGAGAGCGGCGGGAAAGGGCGGGGCGGAAGCGGCGGCGCCGCCGCCATGGGAGCTTTGTTGCGGGCCGGGCGCTAGGGGGCGCTGTCCCCGCCCCGCGCCCCGATTAAAGTTCGCTGGGAAGGAGCCGCCGCGCGATTTGGCGGCTCTCGCGAGAGGACGAGCGCGCGGGCCCCGCCCATCCCCCGAGAGGACTCGCGGACGAGGAGGACTCGCCGGGGAGGGAAGGAGGGAGGGGTGGCGGCGGCGGAGTTGTCGCGAGAGTTGCGGGCGGGTCTCGCGAGAGTTGGCGGCGCCCCCCGGACGGCGCCGCTCCGGTTCGGGCAGAGCGCGGGGGCCGCGCCGGGGGCGGCGGCGGCTCCGGGGCCCCTTCGGCCGGGGATCCGCGCCCAGGCCCCGCCACCGCCGCTGAGGCCGCGGGCAGCGCTCCGGGCCCCGCCTTCCCGGGGCGGCCGCGCTGCCCGCCGGGCCTGGGCCCCCCTCGGATGAGGCGGTGAGGCCGCGGCGCTTCCCCCTCCCCTCCCGGCTCCTTCCCCCCCCCCCGCCCCGGCCCGTCCCTCCCGCCGCCTCCGGGGCTCGGGCCCCGCTCCCCGTGTGAGGAGGGAGCAGCGAGGCCGGCGTGGATGGTGCGAGGGGCGGGCGCGGAGGGAGTTTGAAGTTGGGGGTTTCCGCCGAGTCCGCCCCTCGCCGTTCCCGAGCGCAGCGGGGGAGGAATGCCAAACCCGGAGAGGCATGGGGGCAAGAAGGACGGCGGCGGGGCGTGCTCGCAGCCGGGCGGCGGCGGCTCCAACAGCAAGGAGAGGCACCGGGCGGGCTCCAGGCACAAGAGGCACAAGTCCAGGCACTCCAAGGAGTCCCCGCTGGCGGCCCAGGAAGCGGCGGCGCCCCTGGGAGCGGTGATCAAGCCGCTGGTGGAGTACGATGACATCAGCTCGGACTCGGACACCTTCTCGGACGATGTGGGCCTCAAGCTGGACAGGAGGGACAACGACGAGAGGAGGGCGGAGAGGAGCGAGAGGGCCCAGAAGCACCGGCACCACCAGCACAAGCGGCTCCGGGAGCTGATGAAGAGCAAACAGGCGGAGAAGGACAGGAAGTTGGAAAAGAGCCTGGATGCTTCCAGCAGGTCCGCCAAGGAGAGGATCTCGGGATCCTCCAAGAGGCTCCTGGAGAGCGAGGAGCACCCCAAGGCGCTCTCCTCCTCCAAGAGCAGCAACAAGGAATCGCGCTCGGCCAAGGCGCACAAGGAGAAATCCAGGAAGGAGCGGGAGCTCAAGTCCAGCCACAAAGAGCGCAGCAAAAGCCATCGCAAAAGGGATGCTCCCAAAAGTTACAAAACCATCGACAGCCCCAAGAGGAAATCCAGGAGCCCTCACAGGAAATGGTCGGACAGCCCAAAACTGGACGACAGCCCTTCGGGAGCTTCCTACGTGCAGGAATACGACCTCAGCCCGCCCCGCTCGCACACCTCCAGCACCTACGATCCCTACAGGAAAAGCCCCGGCGGATCCTCACGCCGCCAATCCCTCAGCCCGCCCTACAAGGAGCCCGTGGGTTACCAGTCCAACGCCCGCTCGCCCAGCCCTTACAGCCGGCGGCAGCGATCCGTGAGCCCCTACGGCCGGAGGCGCTCGTCCAGCTACGAGCGGGGCAGCGGCTCCTACAGCGGGAGGTCCCCGAGCCCCTACGGGCGCCGCCGCTCCAGCAGCCCCTTCGCCTCCAAGCGCTCCGTCAGCCGCAGCCCCATCGCCAGGTGCGTGTGCCCCGCCTCGCCCCGGGAGCTGGGAGGGAGTTCGGGAGAGTTTGGAGTGATGGGATACAGGGGGGGATGGGTTCAGGTTGATGGAGGGTGGGTTTAAGGTGGGATATTGGGGAAAAAATTGTTCCCTGCTGCGCTTGCCTGAGGAAGTTGTGGATGCTCCATCCATGGTGTTGTCCAAGGTTGGATAGGGCTTGGAGCAAGCTGGGCTAGAGGAAGGTGTTCCTACCCATGGGATGCTCTTCAGGGCGTTTTCCAACCCAAACCACTCCGTGATTCCGTGATTCCTCCCCATTGCTGCCCAGTGCCGTGTGTGGAGTTGGCTTTGGCTGGGAGCTTTGACCGTTCCCTTTGGAAATGGGGCTGACACTTTGGGAACCGCCTCTGTGCCTGGCGGGAGGCAGCGTCCATGTTGGCTGCGGGCAGGGAGGGAGGCTGGAGGAGCTGCTGGGATTAAGTTACACCCACCTCTGGAGTGGCCCCTTCGTGGGGAGGCTCCCGGAGCAGGATCTAAGGCGCTTACCTGCTGGGAACTTCAGCCACGGGGAATGTTTTCACCTATTTCTGGAAGCCTTTATCTGTTTACTGCGTGTGGGAGCGTGATCCTGCTTTTCAGGAGGGCTCGTTTGGGGTGGATTTTGCTCTTCCTGAACTGGTTTGTCTTTTCTTTCCCCTTGGATTAGAGGCAGCCACGTGCAAACTCCATCTCTCAGCCTAAACTTTCTTTTCTCAGCACTAGAGTTTCTTCCCTTCTGAAATGTGGGCAGGCTGGAAGGGCGAGGAGCAACCAGCTGGATTTTGGCTTATCTCTAATTTTCTCTCCCCTTTTACTCAGTAACTTTGCTCCAGAAGGAAACAATTATTTCAAGGTAGCTCTGTGCGTTTTATTTCAGGTGTTCATTAATCATCCTGTGACATAGTCTAATGTTGATCTTTTCTTTCTCTAGCCCTGGCTTAACGTTCAGTGAGTTTCCAGTTGTCTCCATGGATGCTGTGGAGCTTTGCTTGGAGCTCCATGGCAATTCAGATGTGACCTGGAATGCAATGGCCATAGGAATGCTCTGCTCCCTGGTTGCTGTGCTGCATCCTGCAGCTCAGCAGTTCCCAAAGCACACGGGGCTTTTGGAATTTGGTCTTTGTTACTGCAGCTCTGAACTTCAGGAGTGCTGTCTTCCATGGAGAGCTCGCCTTTGTCCTTGCTGGCAGTTCTGTCTTGGTTTCAACCCCCCTGGAAGCTCTGACGTAAAATCTCTGTATTCCACTGTGATTTTTACAGTGAAAATTTCCTCCAGGCTGCTCCTCCTCTGGCCTGTTTTCTCTGTGTACACCTGGGAGGTTCTCAGGGATAGGCCTGGGTAGTTTTCTGCTCCTTCCCTTCAGTCCTTTTTGCCTGGTGGTGCTACTCTGACACGTTATTTGCTCACCCTTTGGAAGGGTGAGGAAGGTGCAAGGTGTCAGTTCACTGATACAACTCGGAGTTGTGGCGCTGAGGAAATGTCCAGCCCTGAGCAGGGAGAAGCCACTGGGAGCTGCAGAGCAATCCTAAGAGTTTTCTCCCCAGGAGAACCTCTCTGTGTAAGTGGCTGAGTAGAGAATTCAGAGTAGAGAATTCCAGCAGTTCCATTTCCCTGATTTATGGGAGCAACTTCAGAGCACTTTGTGCTGCTTCCCTAAACTTTCAGAGCAACTTTCTAAGGACATCTCCGACTTAAATGCTGGACCCCAAACCAGATGAGTTCCAAAGGTTGCTCACTGTTTACATTCAGCTTGTACCCAACTCTCTGGCTTGATAACTTACTCCTCTCTCTTTCCTGGGCAGATAACTCACTGACTGTGTGAGGTATTCCAGCCCCTTTGGAAAACACCTGCCTGCAGTGACTGTAGCAAAGGGACAGAGGGAATTTCACCTGTTTTCCGTGTGTCAGGTGAAGTGTGAGTTGTAATTCATGTGGTAGCTTTGCTTTGTGGAGCTCCCAGGATGAGAGGTGAGACTGTAGTGGGGGGAGCTCTTGGTCAGGTGTGTCCAGGAGACAGAGGAGGGCTCACCTGAGTGGTTCAGAGCTCACTTGAGTGGCTCAGGGCTCACCTGGGGGGGGCTCAGGGCTCACCTGAGTGGCTCAGGGCTCACCTGAGTGGTTCAGAGCTCACCTGGGGGGGCTCAGAGCTCACCTGGGTGGCTCAGGGCTCACCTGGAAGCTGGGGAAGCTCAGGGCTCACCTGAGTGGCTCAGGGCTCACCTGAGTGGCTCAGGGCTCACCTGAGTGGCTCAGAGCTCACCTGGGGGGGGCTCAGAGCTCACCTGAGTGGCTCAGGGCTCACCTGGGGGGGGGCTCAGGGCTGACCTGAGGAGCTCAGAGCTCACCTGAGTGGCTCAGGGCTCACCTGAGTGGCTCAGAGCTCACCTGGGGGGGACTCAGGGCTCACCTGAGTGGTTCAGAGCTCACCTGAGTGGCTCAGAGCTCACCTGGGGGGGCTCAGAGCTCACCTGGGAGGCTCAGGGCTCACCTGAGTGGCTCAGAGCTCACCTGGGGGGGCTCAGAGCTCACCTGAGTGGCTCAGGGCTCACCTGGAAGCTGGGGAAGCTCAGGGCACATCTGAGGGAGAGGATGGGCAGAGCCTTCCTCACCCTGACACGCTGCACATGAGTGCGAAAGGAGGCAGCTGACTTTGGGCAGTGGCTGATCCCTTTTCTGCTTTCTGTGGAGGAGCAGGAACATTTTTTGGGAGAAAAAAAAAACCTCTTTAACTGGCACACTCAGACAGGGAACACCTGAGCACGGCTTGCGTTCCTCAGGCTTTTCTGGGACACTCCATTATTTCCACTGACTGACAACATGGGGTGGATTTTGGTTTTTTTTTTTTTAGTACATTCTGTGTTTTCTTTCATCTCCACATCCAAAAACACATCATTAGGGAACTGCACCCATGTGCTGTGCTGATTGGAGAAAACCCAGAGTGTTTGCCTTTCCAGTGGCTGTGGAAAACAATCGAGGAGGAAACGAGGATGGTTTGGTCAGTAGGGAAAATAACAGATGTGCTTTGCCATTCCGTGTGGGGAATGTTGTCACTGCAGCTAAAATCTGGAATTCCAGAGTCCCTCATCTTGCTGGAGGTGCTGAGTGTGAGCGTGCACAGGCTGGGTCCTTGCCGTGGTGACAGGTTGCTGGGCATTCAAAAATAAGAATTAAAGTTTGTTTATTGAGGAATTGGAGCAGTCAGGCTTCCTAGATAGTATTTTCTGCTTCATCCTTGACTGTGTTGTTAGAGCAGGTAAAATATGAAATATTTGTGGGTGATTTTGGGTGGGTGGTGTGAATTTTGTGGATGTGGGGCTCTGCAGGTCACCTCTGCTGACACCTGTTAACCATGGCCATCTTCATCCCAATCTTCTGATTGTGTGACTTCAACAAATCTCATAGTGCTTTTTAATTTGGAGTTTTAGATGAAGCCACCCTTTCTTTCTTAATTCACAGCTGTCACGGTTGGTATATTTTATTTCTCTTTTCCAGTTCTGGAGGGGCAGCAGGGTGGGTTTTAATCCCAGAGCATTTTTATCCAGCAGGAGGAAGAAACGTGAGGCTGAATTGCCCCTCATCCATCCTGGATAACCTTGACAAAGCAAGTAAGGTGTGGAATGTTACAAATTAAATGGGAAAGGGGTAAAACTGCTATTAAATAGCTATAGGTAAAACCAGGAAAAAAATCATTCCAGAGGTTAGAAGCGGTTTTCTTCCAAAAGCAAAACCTTCCTGTGCATCTTCTGTACTTTAGTGCCTGGGGGTTTTTTTGGGGTTTTTTTTTTGGGGGGGGTTTTTTCTTTGTTTTTGGTTTTTTGGGGTTTTTTTGAGCTATGCAGTGATAAAAGCCCCCTCAGCAGGTGCTGGGGTGGAATTTTGGGGGCTGTTGATGCTCTGAGGACGGGAGGTGAGATGGTTTTGGTGGAGCTGGGAGAGCAGGAAGGAAATGGGCTTGGAAACAGCAGTTATTTCTGTGGTAAATGCAGGGAATTATTGCTAGTGAGGAGAAGAAGGGTGAGGGCTGCCTGTGAAGAGGACTGGGTGGCAATAGGTGAATTTATTCCTGCTGGGACAGAGGAGTGTTCTTCTTCTTCTTCTTTGCTGCTGGAAGGTCAGGGAGGAAGTGCAGCACTTGCCCACCTTCACCTGTCCCAGCCCAGGCAGAACCCTGGTGGCTGTTTCTAAATTAGCATCATTAAATAAGATAATTTGGATTTTTGCAGATGTTCACGTTGGATCTGGTTTGATTGCTCTGTGTTGGAACTCAAAATGTCCCCTCAGACATTTTTGGATGTTCCAGGTCAGAAGTATTTGAGACCCTGGCAGGCAGCTGCAAACAACTGTGATTTCAGATTTAAACCATAGAATAATTTACCAACTTTGCAGGAAAAACAAGAAGTCACAAAAGTTTAGATATAGTAGAAGTAGTTACAAAATAAAGGGAAGAATTTTTTAGTCTTATACAGGGGGGTTTTAACACCTGTACAGGAGGGTTTTTACTTTATACAAAGGAGTCAGAGATTTTAAGATAAAAAGATTTTTGACTAGTCCTATCCTTCCTCTTTCTTCTTCCTTACCTCCATATTTTTAGTGATATTAGCACTTACAAATTAATTTAAAATAAAAAAACACCATTTAATATAAGTAATAAATATTTTAAAAAGCTATAAACATTTATCATGTAATATACCATATAAAAAAATAACAACAGCCCAAAAGCAGAAAAAAAAAGTCAAAAAACAAAGAGAGGATCAAGAGTGTGTGTATACCTCTGCCTAAGCTACTAACCAAACCACAATAGCCCCAAAAAAAATCTTTTAAATAATCTACAATGAACTAACCAAACAACAAGAAACTATTAAGATTTCCTTTAAAAACACAAGTTTAAAAAAATAACTTTTCCGCCACACGGAACCCCGAAACCAAACCTGGGTTCCGTCAGCTGTGCATGCAGCTGGATTAAATTTTGGTGAGGGTGAGGAGAGCCTGGCAGAGCTTCCCAAAGAAGCTGTGGCTGCCCCTGGATCCCTGGCAGTGCCCAAGGGCTTGGAGCAGCCTGGCACGGCGCGAGGCGTCCCTGCCATGGCGCTGCATGAGCTCCGAGGTCCGTTCCAACCCAAACCCTTCCATGATTCCATGAATTGCAGTGACTCCTGGAGGTTAATCGTGGGGCAGGATGGAAGGCAGGGAGCAGGAGGACTGCAGCATTTGGAGCAATCCATCCTGGGTGGATTGCAGCAGGCAACGTTAACCCCAAAACTTGGTGGTTGTGGTGGTGACATCCTCCAGGATTCATTGGTGTGAGAACCCCAACCTTATTCTGGGGTCCCATGTGGTGGTGAAATTCCTCCTCCCACCCGTGCTTCCAAAGAAAAACTCGGCAGGCTCTTGCTGTTCGGTCTCAAGGCAGTTTATTGTAAATTATCTAAAAGATTTTCTTCTTGAGCTGCTGCAGTTTGCTCAGCAGCTCAGGCAGAGGCACACACACACCCTGACATCCTCTCTGCTGTCTTCTTCTCTCCCCCCACCCAGGGCTGCTGCTATCTTTTATATGATATATTACATATTACATGTTTATAGTTTTTCCCCAATACCTACTACCTATGTTACAAGGTGCTTTTCTACTCTAAATCAATCCATAAGTGCCAGCATCACCAAGAACGTGGAGGTGAGGAAGAAGAAGGAGGAAGAACAGGATCAGCCCACTTTCCTCCATCTTAGAACTTCTGACCCCCATGTACAAAGTAAAAACCCCCCTGTACAGGTGTTAAAACCCCCCTGTACAATACTAAAAAAATTTCCCCTCTGTTTTGTAACTACTTTTACTATCCTATCTAACCTTTTGTGACTGTTCCACCTCCAAAGTTGGTAATTCATTCCATGGTTCAAACTCAAAACCACAGCTGTTTACAGCTGCCTGCTGGGGTCTAGAATGCTTCTGACCAAGGCCTGGAACCTCTAAAAATGTCTGAGGGACATTTTGAGTTCCGACACATTAGGAACATTTTCCTTAGCCTGGAAATGTCTTGGAGCTGCTGAAAAGGGAGCTGCTCTCCCAGCTGGTGGTGCCAGGCAAACTGCAGCCCAGACTGGCAATCCACTGAGCAGAAACTTTGGGAAAAGAGGTGATCCCGAGGCAGCATTCCCATTCCCAAGGCAGAGCAGCGTGCTCAGGAGGGAAACAGCTGCGTGACTGCACACCCTGCTTTTTTCTCCTCCTGCTTGTGTGTTTATTTTGCAAGTCTAAAGGTAAGGATTTACCTACAGCCCTGGTGTTCTTTGAGCACTGTCAGCGTGAGGTTTGGGCTTGTACTTCCAAGTGGGAGAGAGGAATGCTGATCCTTGGAGCAGGGAGGGAACCCCACACCCCGTGGGGACACCCTTCACCTCCCACGCTTACAGCTGCTCCTCCTGCAAGGTGCTGCTGGTGTTGGGACAGGAACGTCCTGTTGTCTCACTTGTCCAGTTTGTTTTCCAAATGTTTATTGTCTTGGGGTAATATTAATTGGTGGTGTTAATTACGTTCTGAGTGTGGTTACGAGGGAGCCAGGGTCGCCTGTGTTTGAACTGCTGTTAAGTGTGTTTTATAACTGCTGTGGGACTGTTTGGGGGGAATTGTGTGTTTTCCAAATTAGATTTGTTGTGTCTGTTACAGAATTTGAACTCAGAATTTTTGGTTGGCATCAGAGCCCACCACACCATTAAAGCCTCACCCTGCCCAATCCTCCTTCCTCCTGGAGCAGAGGAAACAGTTCTGGCTTACCAGGGATTTGATATGGGCAGTGGAAGTACCAGTTTCCACTTTCCAGTTTGGTGTTTATCTAGTTCCCCCTCTCTCCTGAGCAGGTTCATGTTGGGGGAACCCTGATGGTGTGAGGTTGTTTCCTGTCTTGCTTCTCTCCCAGCACAGATTTTCTGTGATCATTTCTGCACACACACCTGATTTAGAGCCCATTCTGTGCACAGAAAGACCTTGACCAACAGAGTTAAAATTCCTGGGGTTTATTTCTCCTTCTTCCAAATCACACCGTGCAAATTTGAGTTCTGATGGCAATAAAAGAACCAGGGGGGTAAAACGAGCTTGAAGTGCCCAATTTCCAGAGGCAGCATTCCCGTGAGGGCAGTTGTGTTTTATCCATGGTTTCCTTTAAAGCTGGACGCAATTCCTGTGAAATATTCCTGAACTGCCAGCTCATCCTCTTGGCTGGAGTCTCCTGTTTGGTGTGTGAGCTCCTCTTTCCCTTGGGGCTTGCCCAGCCTTGATCCTTCCCAGTGTGACAGTGGGAAGGGTGGATGATGATGATGATGATGGTACAGAACTGCTCCTGATTGACTCAGAAACTCCTTTCAGTACCTTCAACCTCTCCTGAATGAGTGGTGTGGCCTCTCTGAGCCACTCAATAACGCATTTAGCTTGTTGGTGAGAAAAATTTTCATTTCTCTCCGCAGGAAATCGGTGAAATCGCGGAGCCGCAGTCCTGGCTACTCGAGGCACTCATCTCACAGCAAAAAGCAGAGGTCTGGCTCCCGCAGTCGCCATTCCAGCATCTCCCCCAGCAGGCTCCCACTCAACTCCAGCCTCGGAGCAGAGCTCAGCAGGAAGAAGAAGGAGCGAGCGGCCGCGGCAGCCGCTGCGGCCAAGGTGGACGGCAAGGAGGCGAAAGGCTCCCCCGTTTTCCTGGCTAGGAAGGAGAACAGCTTGGCTGAACTAAAGGAGGCTGGGACGGAGTCTAAAAAAGTCACCAAAACTGTTAAATCTGAGAAAGCTCCGGACACGGACTCGGTTCATTCACTGTCCACCAACGCAGAGCCTAAAGCCCCTGCGGAGACAACGAAATCCAAGGCGGAGGAGAACTCGGAGAGGAAACATCCTGTTCCACTTAGGGATTCCAAACCCACGGGAACAAAAGACTCGAAGCCTGTAGCAGTGGTAGAGGACCTGGTATCTCCAAAGGAGACAGAGGCAGCAGAGAAGGAGATTCCACCCCCCCTCCCCACCATCAAATCCCCTCCTCCGCCTCTGCCCACCGCCACCCCTCCGCCTCCCACGCCGCCGCTGCCGCCGCTGCCTCCGGCTCCTGCTGTCCCTCCTTTGCCTCCAGCCCCAGTGGCTCCCGTTCAGGTCCCTCCTTCAGCCCCAACGTCTTTGCCATCCTCTTCCTCCCACCCAAGGACGTCTACTTTATCCTCTCAGGTGAACTCCCAGTCCTCTGTCCAGGTGGCTACAAAAACCCAAGTGTCTGTGACGGCTGCTATCCCACACCTGAAAACTTCCACCTTGCCTCCGCTTCCGCTCCCCCCTATTTTAGTTGGGGAAGATGACTTGGATAGGTAAGGTCACACCAGAGCATCCCCTTTGCATTTAAGAGCAAAGCCTTGAATAAAAAGGGTTTTTGGGGTTTTTTTTTTGGGTTGGTTTTGCAGTTATGAGCTTATCCTGCAGAGTACAACTGTGGTGCTGGTTTAAAGGAGTTGTCCCAGGTGTTAGGGCTGCCAGGTTTGTGTGGAGTTTTATGATCTCCTGCAGGTTGTTGCCTCTTATCTCTGTGGGAAACAAGAGGTTTGGCTGCTGCTTGGTAAAGGTTTCACATCACTCTTTGCTTATGTTTATTACAGGGATGGAACGTAGATTTGGGGTTTTGCCTCTGTGTGTTGGAGCTGTTTGCACACTTACTTTAAAATTACCTTTTTGTTTGTTTGTTTGCTGAATTCTTTAGAAACTTATACTCAAGAAGCAGGAAAAAGCTTAACAATTCTTTAAAAAATCCTTAACAAGAACACAAACCAGAGCTTTTTCTGTTCCAGATTCTGTTCCATGCCCACGTGTAAAAACCAGCGTTGCTTTAACTTGAGTATTGTCTTAATTCTTGAGTAATCGATGCAAGCAATTTATTGCTTGAGAAGTAGGAATTGTTTGTTTGAAAAGTTGAAAAATGAGTGAAACTGCACCTGCTTCAACTTTATTTCCTAATCATTTCTGATCAAACATGCAGCATTCTTGGCTCTGTCCTCTGTAGCTCTGGTTGGGCTGGGGGTGCTTGTGATTTTTGTGATGAATTTATTTGAAAACCCCACTCGGGGGGGTTCCTTTTGGTGGGAAGAAAGAAACAGAATATCCAGAATGGAGTGGAGAAGAAAAAAAAAAATCCAAATAGTTGTTTTTTCTCTCCTTTTCTAGCTGTTAGTATGTTGCAGTGTTGTTAACTTAAGGTCATCAGTGATACTTTTTATTTTTACACGACCTGTTTAGCCTGTAGTTCCTAAAACCTCTTGTATCCTCCCAGTCATCACTAAAGATGTGCTGGGATTGGGGAGTAAAGCACATTTTTAGTGAGCAGTGTGATATCCCACAGTTCTGACTCGATCCAATCACCCTGTGGTGAAGCGTTACATATTCTGAATAATTGAATTTATTTTCATGGATGATTCTGGTATTGGTGGCGAGCAGGGAAATGTTCTCACTGCCTCCAACCTAAAAGTGAGGCTGCTGTGTGTTTGTTGCCCTCCCTGGGTGATGTTGCTCAAAAAATTTTGCTGGTTTTAAATATCTCTGTGCTGAGCAGGAGCTTTGAGCTGCCTGCTGATTTTCCCAACCCAAATGCCAGGCAAAGCAAATCCAGCTGCAAAGTTCCCTCCTTTCCAATCCCAGAAGTTGTCCTGCAAACTTTTACTTTATTTTTTCAACCCCTCACACCTAAAAAGCTCTTTTTTTTTTTTTTTTTCCCCCCCAGGTGTGGCTTATCTCTGTAAAATAGTTTTATCCCTAACCCCAGGGCTGGGGTGCTGAGGGTGATTCTGGGGCGCACTAAATGCCTCTGTGTGACTTTTTCCCAAAAAAAGGATGGGAAATCCCACTTGTTTTGCTGAGTCTGGTGGCAGTTCCATGTGGCCCTGACTGTGCAGAATCTCACCCTTCACCAGTGGCCTTCATTTTTTAGGAGCAAAACTCTTTAAGCTGGACTTTTGTCCTTGCTCAGCCTGGGGAATGTTCCAGCCCCAAGCCCGTGGCAAATACAGGGTTGGAAATTGGATTTTGAGGTGCCCAAGGACAGAACACACTTTGTCAAGTGGACATCTGACCTCTCCAGAATTATCACCTCCTCTAGTGCTTTTAGGCCTGGGTGGCTCACCAGGAGAGGAGGAAAAGCAGTTTGGGAGGAATTGGTACAAATTGAATCCTGGTTTGATGCAGAACTTGTGCAGCTTCTTGGGAAAGTAGCACTCACCTGGCTGCTGCCATTCCTGCTGGTTTTGGGATGCCATTCCTGCATTTTTTGGGCTGCCATTCCTGCTGGTTTTGGGGTGCCATTCCTGCTGGTTTTGGGGTGCCATTCCTGCAGGTTTTGGGGGTGCCATTCCTGCAGGTTTTGGGGTGCCATTCCTGCTGGTTTTGGGGTGCCATTCCTGCTGGTTTTGGGGGTGCCATTCCTGCTGGTTTTGGGGTGCCATTCCTGCTGGTTTTGGGGGTGCCATTCCTGCTGGTTTTGGGGTGCCATTCCTGCAGGTTTTGGGGTGCCAATTCCTGCAAGTTTTGGGGTGCCATTCCTGCTGGTTTTGGGGGTGCCATTCCTGCTGGTTTTGGGGGTGCCATTCCTGCTGGTTTTGGGGNGGGGTGCCATTCCTGCTGGTTTTGGGGGTGCCATTCCTGCTGGTTTTGGGGGTGCCATTCCTGCTGGTTTTGGGGTGCCATTCCTGCTGGTTTTGGGGTGCCATTCCTGCTGGTTTTGGGGTGCTATTCCTGCATTTTTTGGGGTGCCATTCCTGCTGGTTTTGGGGCTGTGTTCCTGCAGGTTTTGGGGCTGTGTTCCTGCTGGTTTTGGGTTGCAAATCCTGCTGGTTTTGGGTTGCAAATCCTGCTGGTTTTGGGGTGCCAATTCCTGCAGGTTTTGGGGTGCCAATTCCTGCAGGTTTTGGGGTGCCAATTCCTGCTGGTTTTGGGGTGCCATTCCTGCTGGTTTTGGGGTGCCATTCCTGCAGGTTTTGGGGTGCCTTTCCTGCAGGTTTTGGGGTGCCATTCCTGCATTTTTTGGCGTGCCAATTCCTGCTGGTTCCAAGGAGAGGAAGAAATGCGCTCCAAGGAGCTTTTGTTGTGTTCTTGGTGTTCACTCTTGGTCCTTTCTCTGCTTGGGCAGCTCTGGAGGCTCCATTTGGTTTCCTCCCCCTTTTGACCAGCCCAGGTGTCCTGAGGGAACTGAACTTAGAGGAACCAAGTGCTGATATGCAAATAGAGAACTGAACAGATAAAAGGCAAGAAAATGAGAATTTTTGGCAATTGGAGCCTGGCTCTTGGTAATTTGGAACCTGGGCACTGCAGGTTCTCTCTCCAGACACACATTCACCCTTCCCACCGTGGTCTTAGAAAGTTGTTTTTAATCCTGGACAGAGGCTGAATCTTGTTGTTGTTCAGTGGTGGATGTGGCAGTGTTCATGGCTGGACTTGATCTTTTCCAGCCTTAACAATTTCTTGGATATTTGAACACGATTATTCTGCTCCTAAGGATTTTGCTGTCAGTGGGAAGAGTTGCAGCCCATCTACCTCTCCCATTTCTGGTGGTTTTTGTCTTCCTTAAGTAGATTTCACAAGAGATTATCATGCAGATTATTAGGCAGTGTCTAATAAAATAATTGAGAAAACGACCTATTTCCATCAGTTCATTTATTCTGAAGTGTTAGACCTGATGGTTCAAACACCAAATCTGCTTCCTGCCCTAGAAACAGACCTGGGAAGGCTCCTTGGATCTCTTAATTTTTTCCTTTTCCTGCTGAAGCAATGATTTGCGTGGAGAATTTGTGACTATTCAAACCTAGGAGTTCTCCTCTCTGAATACATGAAAGAGAAAGTAGGTTCTGCTCCTGCCAGCCTAAACCAAACTCCTAATAATTGGATTTAAAAAATCAACTTTCGGTTTCTCAGCAGCATTTGGAAGTTAAAGCCACATTTCACTCCTGGCTAAGAGGTTAAATTTTCTTTTGGAGGAAGGTTTAGCTCTGGGTCTGTATTTATAGTGGTCCTCACCAAATCAAGCACTTAATTTCATGGTGATAAATGGAGTAAATAGAGGAAGTAAAGGTCAGAAAGTGGGTGCTGGCTGATCCCCTGAGCTGCCTCACAGGAAATTCTGAATTACTGCTACCAATTTGTACAAATTGAGCAAGTTCTAGTGTGTTCATTTCATGATGTGTTTTCTCTCCTGGTGTATGAGCATTGTCAATTTAACCTGGTTTATTTTGTGCTAATTTTCACACTTAAACCTCAACCAGAGCCGTTATCCTGCAGTAACTTTTTTTTGTTTGTTTGTTTGTTGAACTGGCTGTTGAATCTGACTTTTGTGTTGTATTAACTTCTCGGAGTTTAGTCCGAAAGAGATTCTTCCTCCAAAACCTGTGAAGAAGGACAGAGAGCAGAGACCACGACACTTACTCACGGACCTCCCGCTCCCCCCAGAGCTCCCTGGGGGGGACCCCTCTCCTCCCGACTCCCCAGAACCAAAGGCAGCCACACCACCTCAGCAACCCTTCAAAAAGAGACCAAAGTAAGGCCAAATTCTTATTTTTTTATTTAAATCTATGACTCTTTTAAGTCCCCTGAATGATTTGAGAGCTTTTTATTGAGGGAAGTGAGATGGGAGAAAAAACAAGTTCCTATTTCTGTATTATTCACTGTAGTGAATGTTTCCTGTAGGTTGTTTCACATTTGGACCCTCAGATAAAGGCAGCTTGCCCCATTTATTTGAGAGTTAATGGCAGAAATGCCTGGAGTGTGTCATGTCCAATTTTCAACCACATCTACCCCAAAAGCTCTTTTTGATTTAGCCAGAAGAAACCTCTGGATGAGCATCTCTGTATAAAGCTCTCGTTGTTTTCAAAAGTTTCTTGTTCCAAATTGGAAATTTGGATTCCTCATGCGTTTAATGGTTGAAGTGTTGGCCATGGAGCTGCAGTGGCTGTCCCAGGATCCCTGGAAGTGCCCAAGGCCAGGCTGGATGGGGCTTGGAGCACCCTGGGACAGTGGAAGGTGTCCCTGCCTTTCATATTTCAGCATATTTCATGTCCCTTCCAACCCAAACCATTCTGAGATTCCACATTCACTGCCTAGATAACTTCCCCTGATAAAAAACATAAGCAGTTATTAAGGGATTAAAATCTCCTGATGTTTTATACAGTGTTTTAAATTAAAAAATCAAACATCCAGCATCCTGCAAAATATCCCAGACATTCATTTTTTGCCCTGCTGTAGTGTCATAATCCAGGAGAACACTTCTGTATTGGGTGTGGTTGGGATTATCCAGCAAAAAAAAACACAGTAAAGTGAACAATCCAATTCTTGGTGTGTATTCTGGTTTAGGGTAATTTTGGTAGAAATACAAACCAACCCAGGAAAATTCCAATTCTTGGAGTGTGTTCTGATTTGGGGTAATTTTGGTAGAATTACAAACATCAAATAGCCAGCCCAGGAAAATTCCAGTTCTTGGAGTGTGTTCTGATTTAGGGTAAATTGGGTAGAAATACAAGCATCAAATAGCCAATCCAGGAAAATTCCAATTCTTGGAGTATGTTTGGATTTTAAGTAATTTTGGTAGAAATACAAGCATCAAATAGCCAACCCAGGAAAATTCCAATCCAGGAAAATTCAAATTCTTGGAGTGTGTTCCAGTTTGGAGTAATTTTGGTAGAAATACAAAGGGTAATTTTGGTAGAAATACAAGCGTCAAATAGCCAACCCAGGAAAATTCCAATTCTTGGAGTGTGTTCTGACTTAGGATAATTTTGGTAGAATTACAAACATCAAACAGCCAAACCAGGAAAATTCCAATTCTTGGAGTGTGTTCTGACTTAGGATAATTTTGGTAGAATTAGGAACATCAAACAGCCAACCCAGGAAAATCCAACCCAGGAAAATTCCAATTCTTGGAGTGTGTTCTGACTTAGGATAATTTTGGTAGAATTAGGAACATCAAACAGCCAACCCAGGAAAATCCAATCCAGGAAAATTCCAATTCTTGGAGTGTGTTCTGATTTAGGATAATTTTGGTAGAATTAGGAACATCAAACAGCCAACCCAGGAAAATTCAAATTCTTGGAGCGTGTTCTGACTTAGGATAATTTTGGTAGAATTAGGAGCACCAAACAGCCAGCCCAGGAGGGAGCGCAAAGCCAGCGTGCCTGAGCTTTGCTGCTGTGTTTTGTGCATTTTGCCAGTGGATGAGGTGGGTTTTTTGGGGGGTGGCAGTGAGCTGGAGCCCTCGGGTGTCTCACAGAGCTTTCCCCCCCGTGCAGAATCTGCTGTCCTCGCTACGGGGAGAGGAGGCAGACGGAGAGCGACTGGGGCAAGCGCTGCGTGGACAAGTTCGACATCATCGGGATAATCGGAGAAGGGACCTACGGGCAGGTGTACAAAGCCAAGGACAAGGACACAGGTGAGCAGGGCTGCAGGTCAGAGCCACGAGTGGGACAAGAACTTCCATTGGGTGTTTTCCAAAAGAGGAAGAAGAGCAGCAGCTCTGGAATCTTGAGTTCTCGCTTTGCTGGCGAGATTCTGTGCCCTGGGGTGTTGCTCAGAAGATTGCGGTGGTCACGGGTGCCACTTGAAGCCCCGTGTTTAAATTGGCAATTTTAAATTGGCAATAAAATTGCTGATTTTATTGCAGCACAGCTTGGGAGATTCCAGGGTAAAATGCTGTTCCTGCTTTGTGGTGAAGCAGTGTTGGATTAAACCCTTCTCTGACCCGGAGATGGGGCAACTGAGAAGTGCTTTAAAAGCTTTTATTCTATTTTCAGTCTCATGAGACTGGTGAGATAATACAGATGTTATAACTCATGCCATCACAATCAGAAGCCAACTATTTCTTAAATACAATATACTTTAAGCATTTCTTAACAGCTTTTGCCACACCATGTTGTAAATGTCTTAAAGCCAGTCATCTAAAATTACTCGATGTGGGTCCTACTAGAGTGCATCTTTCTTAGTCCTGTTTCTCCAAAGTATCTTTTAGAATATCTTTAGAGTATCTTTTTTTATCTTTATCCTTACGTGTTACATGTTTGCAGTTTTCCCCATGCCTATTACCTATATTAAATGGGGATTTTCTATCTTTTATATGGTACATTACGTGTTACATGTTTATATTTTTCCCCAATGCCTATTACCTATATTAAATGGTGATTTTCTACTCTAAACCAATCTGTGAGTGCCAACATCACCAAGAACATGGAGGTGAGGAAGAAGAAAGAGGGAGGACAGGACAGGCCCAAATCCCAAATCCATCTTAAAACCTCTGATCCCCATCTACAAAACCAAAACTCCCCTGTACAGCACTCAAAAATTCTTCCCTTTACTTTATGACTACTTCCACTCTAATATCTGAACTTTTGTGGCTCCTTGTTCTTCCTGCAAGGTTGGTAAATTATTCTATGGTTTAAACTCAAAATCCCAGCTGTTTGCAGCTGCCTGCCAGGGTCTCAAATGCTTCTGACCTGGAACATCTGAAAATGTCTGAGGGACATTTTGTGTTCCGACAATGTCACATTATGTGTTAAATGTTTACAGTTTTTTCCCAATACCTATTACCTATATTAAATGGTGCTTTTCTACTCTAAACCAATCTGTGAGTGCCAATATCACCAAGAACAGGGAGGTGAGGAAGAAGAAAGTGGGAGGACAGGGCAGGCCCAAATCCCAAATCCATCTTAAAACATCTGGCACACATGTACAAAACAAAACCCCTCTGTACAGGTGTTAAACCCCCCTGTACAGCACTCAAAAATTCTTCCTTCTACTTTGTGACTACTTCTACTCTAATATTTAAACTTTTGTGACTTGTTCCTGCAAGGCTGATAAATCGTTCTATGGTTTAAACCCAAAATCCCAGCTGTTTGCAGCTGCCTGCCAGGGTCTCAAATGCTTCTGACTGACCTGGGCCCGGAATATCCAAAAATGTCTGAGGGAAATTTTGAGTTCTGAGAGGTGGGCAGGCTGTGAGCCCTCTGTGCCCTGCAGGTGAGCTGGTGGCTCTGAAGAAGGTGCGCCTGGACAACGAGAAGGAAGGATTCCCCATCACGGCCATCCGCGAGATCAAAATCCTGCGGCAGCTCATCCACCGCAGCGTGGTCAACATGAAGGAGATCGTCACAGACAAACAAGATGCACTGGATTTCAAGAAGGACAAAGGTACAGCTGGCTGCAGGGGTGGTTTCCAACCAGCACAGATTTCATTCAGCCTGTTTGGTAGTGGAAAATGTGGCTCTGGGGTCGGTTTGTTTCTTTGTGTTCCTCCTACGCGTCCAGCGAGGTTGGATCTGGCTCTGGCCTCGCCTCGAAGGACAGGTTCCAGTTGGAGTGAGTTGATCAAAGGATGATTGCATTCCTGCAGGGTCACAGGAGAGCAGTCTTTAAAAAAAACCAAATCTTTAACACTGATTAGCGGCAACAAACTTAATAATAGTGTGAAAAGTTCTTTGTCCTCAGTCACTGTGGAAAAAAAGAGTTTTAGCATCCCACTGGCTCTTGTTTGGAACCTTCTCTTCCAGGAGAGAGAAGGGAACACAAGTTCAAACCATGCATGGCAGTAGTCCTTCAGCAAACTCTCTTGTAAGAAAGTAACCAAAATTAAATGTGACCAGAACTTCAGAGGAATTTATTTTGAGTGTTATTTAATTTCAAATCTCGGCTTGGTGGGGCTACTTTGTTGTTTTGGGGCTTTTTTACTCCTTGAAGGAAAAGGACACCCAGTAAGTCCAGAACAGCAAAGGACTGTTAAAAAAAAAAAAACAACAACAACTTCAGCAAAATCATGCACAATAAAGACTCAACAATTTAATCTCCTTTCATTCCTCCTCTTTTTTGTGTCTCTCCTTCTGTTTTCAACCATTTCTCTGTTTATTATCCCAGGTGCCTTTTACCTTGTGTTTGAGTACATGGACCATGACCTAATGGGGCTGCTAGAATCTGGCTTGGTACATTTCTCAGAGGACCATATCAAGTCTTTCATGAAACAGTTAATGGAGGGCCTGGATTACTGTCACAAAAAGAATTTCCTTCATCGAGACATCAAGTGCTCCAACATCTTACTGAACAACAGGTAACCTGGGAGTGGATCCACTTAGGGATTTCTCCAAGCATTTTTTCCCTCCAGGTTTAGCTGTGAGCACTCAGTGCTGTCCTCACCTTGGGTGTTGTGACAAGAATTTTGTCCAAATTACGACCAAATGTCTCAATATCCACCTAAAAAAAAAATTATCTGGGCTATTGGCCTGTTGGGAAGGGTTTGTGATACAGATGACACTGAATTATTGGTGGGTTTTGGGTTTTTTTTCTAACACTGTATTTTTCTGAAGCATTCAGTCAGAAGTGGAGAATTAATCCTGGCATATCCAGCAGTAATTCCTGCACACGTGGCTTTGTGAGGCTTTTCTGCTGCACTGGGGTTGGTTTCCTCACCCTTTAACTGAGGTTTAAGTAGGAGCTGGGTTCTGATGGGTCCCTGACAGCTCAATACAGCCCACAATTCTGTGATTTAAGTGTGATTTAAACCAGGGGCTGGTTTTTTGTCTTTCAGTGGGCAGATCAAACTTGCGGATTTTGGGCTCGCCCGACTCTACAGCTCGGAGGAGAGGTGAGGAAGGGAAAAGGGTTTACCTGGGTGGGATGAGCTTCTTTCTTCTCAGTATCCACATAATCCTTCACTTGGAAGTCCTGACATTATTTTCAGTGAGATCATCCAGCTCCAGCTGTTGGACAAATACACTCCTGGCTGATGTTAATAACTTTTCACTAGCAGAGCAGCTCAGAAGGGTCAGAACTTCTCTGCTTGCCTTTGACCTGCCCTGGAGCAGGTTTTGCTGCAAGATCAGTCACCATTCAGTGGTGGCAGCTTGCTGAGGGTCAGGAATTTTCAGTCTGAGGTACTTACAACAAGTCCTGATTCCTGTAAAATCCATGGTACCTCCTCAGCTGTTTTTAACTCAGAAATGCAGACACTTTAAACCCCCCTTGCTGCCACCAACAGGTGTTACTGCAACTGGGAAGTAAAAAAGAGAAGTTTTCAGGGTTTTGTGGCTCTTGGGATGAGTTTTTATGTTTTTTTTTTTCTACTTTGCAGCCGTCCCTACACCAACAAAGTCATCACGTTGTGGTACCGACCCCCAGAACTGCTGCTCGGGGAGGAGCGTTACACCCCTGCCATCGACGTGTGGAGCTGTGGGTGAGTCCTGCTGCCCTTCCCTGCCTCTGCAAGCAGCTCCTGAGCACTCCCATGGCAGCTGCTCCTTGGTTTGTGCCAATGCCCACAGCTGGAATTCCCACAGCTGGAATTCCCACAGCTGTGTTAGGATAAGACAGGAATACCTCACAGTGCTGTGCTCTGAGGGACAGGGGTGTGTCCCCACTTAGTAAAAACTCCTAGAATGAGGTTTTCCTTGGGTTTGAAAATGAGAAAGGGTAAGGAACAGAATTTTCACTATTTAAACTGCAAACCAACCTGATACTGATGTACCCTTGAGATCAAGAGGGGTGACAGAGCTGTGGAGGGGTGACACATTTGCCCTGTGCTGCTCCCTCCTTCAGTGTGTTCTTTAGAGAATTTTTTTCTAAACTCTTTAAGTTGCTGTTTGCCACTAGTTTTTTTTTTTTTTCCAGCTAAAACATTTTAAAGTAGATATTTCAGGTTTCAGGAAGTTTCAGTAGTACAGGAAGCCTGGGGAACAGGAGGCTGGGCAGTTCAGCCACAAAGGTGGAACATTTTTCCGAGTGATTCAGAAGCAGAGACTGGAGGATCCAGCAGTAGAACTGAGGCTGGATTCCCCACAGTGTGCACTTCCCACTGGGGTGTCCCCAGCTAAACTTCTGCAGGGTTTATGACACAAAGAGAGGTTGGGAAAACCAGTAATTAATCATAATTATGGGGTTATTCCCATTCCAACCAGGTGCCTGCATCCTCCCAGCTACTCCTGGCATTGATTCCTGGTGGCTGAAGGAGAGATGTTGAGGGCTGCAGGAGTCAGAGGTGCCCCTTCCCACCTCTTTTTTCCCTCCAAACTGTACAAAAGTGCACAAACCCAGCTCCTCTGCCTGCCCTGACAGCCACAGGGCAGCTGGGGAAGTCGAAAATCCAAACAAAAGCTGATCCTGGAGGAAACGAGAGCTCTGTGCTCTTTTCACACTGACACATCCTCCTTTCCCCGCGAAGAATTAACGTGTCAGGGGCTTCCTGCCCCCAAGCAGCCACTTGCAGGAGGTGATTCCCAGGAGCCCAGGGCTGGGGACTCCTACACACAGGTCACTTTGTCACTACAAGCCCTGATGCAAATCACCCTCCCCAGGCAAAGCCTCTCCCCGGCACAAACGCTGCCGTGTTCAGACGCTCGTCCCCAGGGTTTGGCTGTCGTGACCTCTTGCTTTTCCTCCTTCCAGCTGTATCCTCGGGGAACTGTTTACAAAGAAGCCTATTTTTCAAGCCAATCTGGAGCTGGCTCAGCTTGAATTAATCAGGTAAAGCTTTGCACACGCATGTCTGTGAGGGGAGGTGCTGCAGGAGCTGCTCTTGCACACAAGGCAGCGAGTTAGAAGAGCTCTTGGTCTCTAAGCTGCCTGGAGAACAGAGCCAGGAATGCCTGGGAATGAAAATGGGAATAATCAGGTGTCCCCACACCTACATCAGGTGTGTGGTTGCTGATTTATGTACCCTCAGTAAAGCTTGCTGTTTGCTGAGTCCAAAAATCAACAATCTCAATTAATTCTCACTCTGAGTTTTAATCCTGGAGTGATTTAGGGTGGAAGGGACCTTAAATCCCATCCAGTGCCACCCCTGCCAGGGCAGGGACACCTTCCCCTATCCCAGGGTGCTCCAAAACCCTGTCCAGCCTGGCCTTGGACACCTCCAGGGCTATCAAGTTCACAGCTTCTCTGGGCAACCTCTGCCAGAGCATCACCACCTAATTGTAAAAATACTAAAATTTAGTGAGTTTGGAAAGTTTAAAGTAAGAAACATTAAGATTTTAAACTTCGTAGTAAGAAAAATAAAATGTCATCGTTTTGAATGATTTATAAACTCAAGCTCAACGTTTTCCTTCTCATGATAAAGTTCTGGAATGGTCCAGGGAGGTGGTGGAGTCACCACCCTGGAGGTGTTTAACAAGGCTGAAGGTGCCAGGGTCTGGTTGAGGAGTTGGGGCTGGCTTGGACTTGATGACCTTGAAGGTCTCTTCCAACCTGTGAATTCTGTGAATTTGGGGGAATTTTGGGAATTCCTAAAGACCAGGAGGTGGTGGAGTCACCATCCCTGGAGGTGTTTAACCAAGGCTGGGGGTGGCACTGGGTGCCAGGGCTTGGTTGAGCTGGGTGAGCTTAAATATCTCTTCCAGCCCAGTTATTCTGTAAATTCTGTGAATTTGGGGGAATTTTGGGAATTCCTAAAGACCAGGAGGTGGTGGAGTCACCATCCCTGGAGGTGTTTGACCAAGGCTGGGGGTGGCACTGGGTGCCAAGGCTTGGTTCAGGTGTTGGGGCTGGCTTGGACTCGATGATCCTGAAGGTCTCTTCCCACCCAGTGATTCTGTGAATTTGGGGGAATTTTGGGAATTCACAGGGACCAGGAGGTGGTGGAGTCAGCACCCCTGGAGGTGTTTAACCAAGGCTGGGGGTGGCACTGGGTGCCAGGGCTTGGTTCAGGTGTTGGGGCTAGCTTGGACTCGATGATCCTGAAGGTCTCTTCCAGCCGAGTGATTCTTTGAATTCTGTGAATTTGGGGTATTTTGAGAATTCCCATGGACCAGGAGGTGTTGGAGTCACCATCCCTGGAGGTGTTTAACCAAGGCTGGGGGTGGCACTGGGTGCCAGGGTCTGGTTGAGGAGTTGGGGCTGGCTTGGACTCGATGATTCTGAAGGTCTCTTCCAACCCAGTGGTTGAATTCTGTGAATTTTGTGAACTTGGGGGAATTTTGATAATTCCCAGGGACTGGGGAGGTGGTGGAGTCACCACCCCTGGAGGTGTTTAACCAAGGCTGGAGGTGGCACTGGGTGCCAGGGTTGAGTTGAGGTTTTGGGGCTGGCTTGGACCTGATCACCCTGAAGGTCTGTTCCAAGCTGTGGATTCTGTGAGTGCTGTGACATCCTGTGACTTCCACCTGGCTGACTGTGCCTCCCTGCCCCCAGCCGGCTCTGTGGGAGCCCCTGCCCAGCCGTGTGGCCAGATGTCATCAAGCTGCCCTACTTCAACACCATGAAGCCCAAGAAGCAATACCGGCGGCGTCTGCGCGAGGAGTTCTCCTTGTGAGTCGTGCTGGGCTCCCTGTGCCCTCTCCCAACGCCCCATCCACCTCCAGAGGGGTTCCCTGGGGCTGGGGAGTGCACTGGGAGCTCTCCTGAAGCGTGGCATCTTCAGGGGGATGTTCTCTGCCTCCCTGAGGGATGATCTCGTGGGAGTTGTGGCAGAGGTGCTTCTCATAAATGGCAAAATACAGAGTGGAAATGTCATGGAATGTCCTCAGCTGGGAGGGATCCACAAGGATCATCCAGTGCAGCTCCAGGCCCTGCACAGACACCCCAAAAATCCCACCCTGTCCCTGAGAGAGATATCCAAACCCTCCTGGAGCTCTGGGCCCTACAGGGATCATCCAGTGCAGCTCCTGGTCCTGCACAGACACCCCAAAAATCCCTGAGAGCGATACCCAAACCCTCCTGGAGCTCTTGGGGCTGTGCCCATTCCCTGGGGAGCTGTTCCAGTGCCTGAGCACCCTGTGGGAGGGGATAAAAATTCCCAAAATCCAGGAATCATCAATCCCACTCCAGGTCCTGCACAGGCATCCCAAAAATTCCACCTTGTCCCTGACACCAATGTCCAAACATTCCTGGGGCTCAGGGACCTACAGGAATCATCAATACAACTCCAGGTCCTGCACAGGCACCCCAAATATTCCAACCTGTCCCCCTGAGAGCGATATCCAAACATTCCTGGGGCTCTGGGCTCTAAAGGAATCATCAACCTAACTCCTGCCCCTGCACAGACACCCCAAAAATCCCACCCTGTCCCTGAGAGAGATATCCAGACATTCCTGGGATTCTGGGCTGTACAGGGATCATCAATCCAACTCCTGGCCCTGCACAGACACCCCAAAAATCCCTGAGAGAGATATCCAAACCCTCCTGGAACTCTCGGGGCTGTGCCCATTCCCTGGGGAGCTGTTCCAGTGCCTGAGCACCCTGCGGGAGGGGATAAAAATTCCCAAAATCCAGGAGTCATCAATCCAACTCCTGGCCCTGCACAGGCACCCCAAAAATCCCTGAGAGCATTGCCCAAACCCTCCTGGAGCTCTTGGGGCTTTGCCCATTCCCTGAGGAGCTGTTCCAGTGCCTGAGCACCCTGTGGGAGGGGATAAAAATTCCCAAAATCCAGCCCGAACCTCCCAGGCACAGCTCCAGCCACCCCCAGAGCCGACTCCTGCCCTGCTGGTGCCTTTGAGCATCACCAGCAATGAGCTCTGGCTGTGTGGATTCCCCTTAAGCCCGAGGTGTCCTCCTCCCCCTGAGCTTTCCCACACATTTTCCATGAACTTATCCACGTTTCCCACTCTCCCCACAGCATTCCCTCCTCTGCCCTGGACCTGCTGGACCACATGCTGACGCTGGACCCTGGCAAGCGCTGCACAGCAGAGCAGGCCCTGCACAGTGACTTCCTGAAGGACGTTGACCTCAGCAAAATGGCACCTCCAGAGTAAGTCCCAGCTGCCACCCCACCTCCGTGAGCTTTGGGAAGGAGATGTGGTGATCTTTTCAGTCAAAATTATGATTTCTGGGTACTTCTGTCCACTCTGCCCTCGTGGTCGAGCAAATGGCTTTTCCTGTGCTGTTGGTTTTCTGCCTGATGACAGGCTGGGTTTATCAAGCCCAGTTTAATGTTTGTAAGATGCTCTAAAGCTCTGCTGGAAGATGTGCAGGAGTAGATGTAGCACAGCCCTGTCCCTGCCATGGAGAGCTGCTCAGGCCTAATTAAGGCTGTGTGTTAATTGACTGCCAGAGCTGAGCAGCGTCACTCAATTTTTTTCCCACTCCAATCAAACAGATGATAAAACTATGTCTGGTTTGTGTGAAAATGCAGCCACAGCTCTGGAAATCCCTGTTTCCTTCAGTGTTTCTCAAGGAAGGGCCTTTCCTGACACTCCCAGAGCTTTGTGTGCCCTGTGAGATCCCAGCACGTTCAGGGACCAGATCCCAGGGCAAAGTAAATGATTTTTACACTGCTTTTGCTGGCTTTGGACCTGCCCCTTCCTGTGCTGCAGTCAGGGATTGTGGAATCCCAGGATGGTTTGGTTGGAAGGGACCTTAAAACTCATCCAGTACCACCCCTGCCATGGGCAGGGACATCTTTCACTACCCCAGGCTGGTCCAACCTGGCTTGGCCACTTCTCAGCTTCTCTGAGAAATCCATTCGAGTTTTTTAGGGAGGAATTTCTTCCCAATATCCCTTCCTGAGTCCATTTCTCCACCTGTAAAAGTGGATTAACATTACAGAATTGCATCCTACAGTGGTTTGGGTGGGAAGGGACCTAAATTCCATCCAGTGCCATGGGCAGGAGCATCTCCCACCATCCCAGAGTGGCTCCAAACCCCATCCAAGCTGGCTTGGACACTTCCCAGCTTCTCTGGGAAATCCATTCCAGCCTTTTAGGGAGGTATTTCTTCCCAATATCCCTTCCTGAGTCCATTTCTCCACCTTTACAAGATTACAGAGTTGCATCCTACAGTGGTTTGGGTGGGAAGGGACCTAAATCCCATCCAGTGCCATGGGCAGGAGCATCTCCCACCATCCCAGAGTGGCTCCAGACTGGCTTTGGACACTTCCCAGCTTCTCTGGGAAATCCATTCCAGCCTTTTAGGGAGGAATTTCTTCCCAATATCCCTTCCTGAGTCCATTTCTCCACCTGTAAAAGTGGATTAACATTACAAAGTTGCATCTACAGTGGTTTGGGTGGGAAGGGACCTTAAATCCCATCCAGTGCCATGGGCAGGAGCATCTCCCACCATCCACGAGTGGCTCCAAACCCCATCCAAACTGGCTTTGGCCACTTCCAGGGATTCAGGGGCAGCCACAGCTTCTCTGGGCAACACCCGTGGGTTTTGGTGATTGCCATGGTTTCCAAGTTTCTCACTCTCTTGCAGCCTCCCCCACTGGCAGGATTGCCACGAGCTGTGGAGCAAGAAGCGCCGGCGGCAGCGGCAGAGCGGGGTGGCCGTGGAGGAACCTCCGCTATCAAAAGTTTCTCGGAAAGAAACTACCTCTGTTACAAGCACAGACACTGTGAAAAACAACAGCAGTCCTGTGCCCCCCCAGCCTGCCCAGCTCAAAGCAGAGCCTGGTGCTGCAGATGCAGTAGGTCAGTGCCCACCTGGGTCTGGAAAAAGCTCTCGGTGTGTTCCCTCTGTGGGTGTGGGAGGTTTGGGTCTGTTTTTAAACCAGTTTGGTTTTTTTCACCTCTAATTCTGCAGAAAGGGCATTCCAGGCTCTTCCTGTCCTCGTTTCTTTTATTTTTTTTTTTTTTTTTTTTTCCCCTCCTCTCTCTGCTGTGAAAACGCAGAAGGTTCTGTCTGGTCTTCAGAAGTCACTGATGAGCTGACTGTGAATTTGTTCTGAGCTGTGTTATTAGTTCTGAAAGAGGCTGAATGATGAAAGGAGTCCTTGAGTCACTTCAGCCAGTGGAGAAACAAATCATAGGGATCATAGGCTGGAAGGTGGAGCCGCATCCGGGGTGTGCAAATGAGCTGAAGTTTGATCTTGTTGATAAATCGTATGAAGATTAGGTGTGGGAAGTGTCAGGCTGGTGGACAAAAATGAACATTATTGCACTTTGCTGCAGAGGAGGTCATCCAGAGTGGCAGGACCTGCACTGGGTGCAGTGACCAACCCCCAGAAAATGTGCCTAGAAAATAGTTGGAGGGGAGGAATGTGAATTGACACAGAGCTGCCCTGATTGTTCTGTAGAAGCCTTACAAAAACCCAGATATGGGCTAAGGCTTCCTTTGTGTCCAATGCTGTGCTGACAAGTAACGAGGAAGACAGTTCTTGCTCCAGGGAATGCACAATCCATGTGTTCAGTGAAACATGGCAGATGGACAAAAGGTGGTGCTTGGATTAACAAACAGCTGGGAAAAGAATGTCCCATTCTCCATTGCGTTACCAGCAAGGGAAGCTCCATTTTAAGCTGCTGAAACCAAACCCTTGCCACCCTTATTCCCAAAAAGTTCCAGCGTCACTGTCACCGGGAAGGGCCGCCCTTGTCACTTGTCGTCGGGCTGTGAAGGGAGGGGATGCCACTCCCAGGATGTATTTTAGGATAACCTGGATCCTTGCAGGTCAGGACAGAGTCCTGTGATCCCAGGGCAGCTCCCAGGAAGGAATTGCCTTCTGCCTGACCTAATTCCTCGTGCTGTGTCAGGGAACACGCCCTTCCTCCATCCCAAAGAGCAGCTCAGCTCCATCCTGGGAAACCTTCCCGCTGCAGGAGGGAGGATTTGGATCTGTGGGGTCCTCAGGAGAGCCAAGCTGTGATTTCCCTGCTGGGGGCTCAGAGCTCCCATTGCCATCCTCATCCATTGCCCCCTCACCCATAGCCTGGTATCCTTGGGATGCCCCCACTTCCCAAACCCGGGAATGTGCACTTTGTCTTGGCTGAGCTGAGTGTGAGCCGTGGTTCTGGGGAGGTGTGGGGGCAGTGCAGCAGCAGCAGCTCTGTGGGTGCAGTGTGTGTGCAGTGCCACGGGGTGCTGCTGCCGTGCCGCATCCCGAAATCCTCCTCACGGAGCATCCCTGCCTTCCCCCAGCCCGGGGACACGGACACAGGGGTGGCCAAGGGCTGTGGCGTGTGGGGAAGGGGTGTTCAGTGCTGTGGGATGTGGGAAAAGGGGTGTTCAGTGCTGTGAGATGTGGATTTTGGCTGTGGGATGTGGAGAAGGAGAGTTCCTGGCTATGGGATGTAGAAAAGGGACATTGAGTGCTGCAGGATGTGAAGACAGTGCTGTGGGATATGGAAAAGGGGTGCTGAGTGCAGTGGGACATGGAAAAGGGGTGCTCAGTGCTGTGGGACGTGGAGAAAAGGTGTTCCTTGCTGTGGGACATGGAAAAGGGGTGCTCAGTGCTGTGGGACATGCAGAAAGGGTGTTGAGTGCTGTGGGATGTGGAAAAGGGGTGCTCAGTGCAGTGGGATGTGGATTTTGGCTGTGGGATGTGGATCAGGACTCTGGGATGTGGGGAAGGTCTGTTCCTGGAGCTGTGGGATATGGATCAGAACTCCGGGATATGGGGATGTGGGGAAGGTCTGCTCCTGGCTGTGGGATGTGGAGGACAGCTCTGGGATGTTGGGAAGGGCTGTTCCTGGAGCTCTGGGATGCAGGGATGTGGATCAGGGCTGTTCCTGGCTGTGGGATATGGATCAGAACTCTGGGATGTGGGGAAGGGCTGTTCCTGGAGCTCTGGGATGTGGAGGACAGCTCTGGGATGTGGGGAAGGGCTGTTCCTGGAGCTCTGGGATGCGGGGATATGGGGAAGATCTGTTCCTGGCTGTGGGATATGGATCAGGACTCTGGGATATGGGGATGTAGGGAAGGACTCTTCCTGGAGCTCTGGGATGTTGGGAAGGGCTGTTCCTGGAGCTCTGGGATGTAGGGAAGGACTCTTCCTGGAGCTCTGGGATGTGGAGGACAGCTCTGGGATGTTGGGAAGGGCTGTTCCTGGAGCTCTGGGATGTGGAGGACAGCTCTGGGATGTGGGGAAGGGCTGTTCCTGGAGCTCTGGGATGTGGGGAAGGGCTG